GGTATTAGACCCGATTTACCTAACTACACTGGCTACCTAACTTTAAATCTGGCTTCATAATTGTGGTTCTCAAGATTAGATTTGGATAATTTTTACAATTCTCAATAGGTTGAATATTATTACTTGACATTAGCTTATTGATTGATTGATTGATTGGGGATTGAACCTAGGGCATCTACTGATGAGTGACAGCTCCAGACCTTTTTCATTTCATCTTGCAGAGTTGCCCAGGCTGGCCTTGATCTTGCAATTCTCCTGCCTCACCCTCCCAACTAGTTGGGATTACAGGCATGCACCACCATGCCTGACTAGCCTTGTCAGTTTTTGACTGTCTCCATTTTTGTTGAAAACTCAGTTATGGAATTATCCATTGTGAAAGACAGAAGGAAAAAATTGGGACAAAAGGAAGACTCGGAAGCCTGTAGGACAACAGCAAACATCACAATATGTGAAATAGGATTCCCAGGGAAAAGGCTAAAAAAAGAGAGGAAAAAATTATTTGAATAATGACTCAAAACTTCCCAAGTATGATAAAATATACTTAGTCTTCAGATCCAAAACTTCAGACTTCTCATAAGATCCACATAGGGATACATGATAGTCAATTTACAAGAGACACCAGAGCCTACTCTTTCTGCCCCATGAGGTAGAAGAATGCATTGTCTACCAGACAGAAGAGGGGGTCCTCACTGGAACCTAACCATGCCGCCAGGTCTTCTGGCCTACAGAACCGTGAAAAAATAAAATGTCTTTGTTTAAATCTGTCTAGTATTCTGTTATGGTAGCCCTAGCAAACTAAGGGCTATATTTTCACTCTTTTAAGTGTTGGAAATCACTTGGTGTTTGGTTTGCCACACCTATATTATTTGCTAAAATTTATGTTAATCACAAGTGTTAGTATTAAAAACACAACTTAAGGGGCTGGGCTCAGTGGTAGAGTGGTCGCCTAGCATGTTCGAGGCCCTGGGTTGATCCTCAGCACCACATATAAATAAAGCTATCGTGTGCAACTACAACTATAAATAAATAATAAAATGAAAACACAACTTAAGAACAATTTCAATGAAACTCAAATGTGAATAATTTAGTACATTATAGAATAGCCACTTGAAGACTCTGTAACGATAAAACTGCCTAGTTGATTAATCAGATTAATAATGAAAGAGATCTTTAAAAAATATAATAGCTTTATTGATATAATTCATATGATAAAATTCACCCACTTACACTATACAATTCAGTGATTCTTAAGAGTTGTACAACCATTACCACAATCAATTTTAGAACATTTCCATCATCCTGAAAATAAATTGTATACCCATTAGCAGTGTCTCCCCATTTCTTCCCACCAATCTCTCCACTAGCTCTTATGGTGGACATTTCGTATTAATGCAACCAAATAATGTCTTTGGTGACTGGTTATTCAGCATATTTGCAAGGATCACTCCACCAGGCGACCAGCACAATGGTTTCATTAAAGAGGTTCGTGGCATAGAAGTTAACTAGTGAGATCAAAATAAAACACACAGACTCAATTACCTTTTTCTATGACCAGGTCACAGACGGCTCTCACCTCTCTGGCTCACACCTCAAACCACCCGCTCTCACCTCTCTGGCTCACACCTCAAACCACCCGGTAGGGCAGCAAGGATTACTCAGGGGAGGGAGGGGGGAGGGAGAGAGGGAGGGAGAGAGGGGGAGAGAGAGGGGGAGAGGGAGAGAGAGAGGGGGAGAGGGAGAGAGAGAGGGGGAGAGGGAGAGAGAGAGGGAGAGAGAGAGAGACCGCCAGGGAGTGGCCTTTTATTGGGGAACAAGAAATTCAGGGGAGAATTCCATCCAATGAAGGTTGAGGGGGGCAGCACTGCAAGGTCAGGGTCAGTGATTGGCCTCAGGGTCAGTCACACCCCCACACAAACAGGCTCACGCACCTGGAGAGGGTGGGGGAAGCTACCACACAGTTTGGCCAGAGGGCCTCACACCCAATCTGGGAGGTGCCCAATCACATGCGAGAATGGCTTCCCATAGATCATTTGTTTTAGGACATATCAGTTCATAATTCTTTTTTAATTGCCACCCAATGCTTGATTACTTGAATATACTAATCCATTCCTCAGCTAATGAACATTTAAAAAAATTTTTTTTTTTTTTTTTCTTTTGGGCCACCCCGGGTTGTTTTTTCCTTGCCCTCCAGGCCCCTGTTTTTTTGAGATAAGGCCTCAGTATGTGGCCTCAAATTTAAGGAGTAGCAAGCATTGTTGAGTTCTCATTTCTCTTGAGTATATATCTAGGAGTAGAATTCTGGGCCATGTGACAATTCTGTGCTTAACCTTGGAGAAACTGCCAGATTATTTTCCAGTTGCCACATCATTTCATGTTCCCACCAGCAAGTTGCTAGGGTCCCAACCTAGTTGTGACCTCAACAACTCTCCCACACCAAGTGGGCATCCTATAATCAGTTCTGACATTATTCTAAGTTAGTGCAAACTCCACAAGTGCAAGGGCTCAGTGCTGCAGGACCACCTTCACTTCAGATGAAGGTCACAAGTCTCAGGCTAACTGGACATCTAACCTACTGGCATTAAACTGAGGGGCCCCATGATACTCCTCATATGCAATAATTTACTAGAATGTTTACAAAAATCTGAGAAATTTTACTTAAGTTTAACGGTTTATTATAAAGGATACAAATGAACAGTCAGACAAAAAGATACAAAGAGTGGAAGGGCCCAGAGTTCAGAAGCCTCTGTACCCAGGGAGCTGGAGTGTGAGAACCTTTCAGCACACAGGTCTTTTCACCAATTTGGACACTCTACAGTTTCATTATTCAGGAGTTCAATCTTCAGACACTTCTGCCCAGGATTCTACCCTATAATCATTTGATCTTTATGGTGACCAGTTCCTCCCTCTATCACCTTATTGGGATGTACTAAGGTGTGCTTAGAAGGACCTCATGAATAACAAGACATCCCTGTCATTTATGAAACTCCAAGGCAAGGTTTTTAGCTCTCTGCAAGGAATCAGGGACAAAGACCAAAGATATTTCTTACAAAAATAATCAGTGCCATAGAAAGCAGTTTTTCTAAATTATGGAACTGGGGCTGAGAGTATAGGTCAGTGGTACAGCACTTTCCCCTAGCATGCTTGAAGGCCCTGGGTTTGATATCCAGCATCAATGGAAAAAAAAAATATGGACTCATTGGCAAAGCAACTAGATATGGGGTATGAGGTAGCCTGCCTGGAAATGCACACCGGGCGTATTGCCTGACACACAGAGGTTAGACTCAAAAGCACTTAAATGTTGGACTTCACTGTTTTCAGGCTCTCCAATATTTTGCCAAAGGTGGTCTATATTTAACATGTTCAGAGAATTTTTATTTTCTATTTGATTTCCTGACAAATCATAAAGCAGGATGTGTTACTAAATCTTGTTGTATTTATTACCATAAAGATATTCTCCAGTGTAAACACTTGACACTAATTGAGGTCTTATTTCTGGGTAAAGGCTTTGCTATGGTCACTGTTATTTCTGCCAACTAATAAGCCAATAATTCATGAAGAGCCCTGAAAATAAAGTCTTTCCAAAGATGACTTTCTTAGTCTCTACATTCACAGAATTTATCTAGTTATAGACTTTCCAGATTATGAGCTAGAGATTTTGCACAGGGGATCTCCACACTGAGTATATCTGAGTTTATCTGTTTTCATTGATAGAAAATGAGAGGTAAAGGATCACCAAAGGCACTATCATATTTACTGCAATTAGGCATATCTCCTGGGAAGATCCTTCTGAGGGCATCCAGTTGGCTGTGCCGTGATTACATTCCAATCTGCCAGAGATACGGATATTTGGTGAAGTCTGAGTTGCCCCAGAAGGCATTTCCACCCTGCACAGTGTTTTGGGGATGCATGAGTTCACTCCTAAGTGATGTGCTGTGACTCTCTATTAAAAGAATTTTCAACTTGAATGAATCGATCCGTTTCTCTGGTGTGCATTTTCTTGTGTTTAACAAGGTTCGACAAGTGGGAGAAGGCTTTCTCACAATCACTGCATCCGTAGGGCCTCTCTCCAGTATGAGTTCTTCGGTGTACATTGAGCACCGACTTTGTAGTGAAGGCTTTCCCACATTCACTGCACTGATAGGGCTTCTCTCCTGTGTGAATTCGCTGATGGGTAATGAGGCCATATTTGTGTGAATAGGATTTCCCACACTCAGTACATACAAAGGGAGTCTTTCCTGTGTGACATCTCTCATGTTGTATGAGGCATATCTTCTGGCTGAAGGCTTTACCACATTCATTGCATTCGTAGGGTTTCTCTCCTGTATGAGTTCGCTGGTGTATAACAAGAGTGCGCTTGGTGGTGAAGGCTTTTCCACACTCACTGCATATATAGGATTTTTCTCCTGTGTGAGTCCGCTGATGTATGATGAGAGTGCGTTTCACAGTGAAGCCTTTTCCACACTCACTGCATATGTAGGATTTTTCCCCTGTATGAGATCTCTGATGCACAATGAGATTGCTCTTCACAGTAAAGCCTTTTCCACATTCATTACAAACATAGGGTTTCTCTCCAGTGTGAGTTCGCTGATGCACAACTAGATAGCGCCTCATGATGAAGCCTTTTCCACATTCACTGCATACATAGGGTTTCTCCCCTGTGTGAGTTCGCTGGTGGACGATGAGATTGCTCTTCACAGTGAAGCCTTTTCCACATTCACTGCATACAAAAGGTTTCTCTCCACTGTGAGTTCGCTGATGAGCAATTAGATAGCGCTTCATTGTAAAGCCCTTTCCACACTCACTGCACAGATAGGATTTCTCTCCTGTCTGGGACTGCCCACTGATAGTGAGGCTGCTCTTCACAGCAGGACCCTTCCTGGACTCTCTGAGTACACAGGGAAGGTCTCCTCCATGAGTCCTCTGATGCTTAGTGGTTAGGACACTTCTGGACGATTTCTCACCTTGACCACTCCCAGGTTTCTCTCCTGTATGAATGCTCCCATGATAAGGGAGCAGAGACTTTCTGGTGAAGGTTTTCTCACCTTCAGTGTATGCAAGGGGTTTCTCAATTTTTTGAGTCTTCTGATGTTTGAATGCTTGACATTTAATACCTGTGCATTTTGTACTTTCAGTGAGTTTCATTTCAGTAAATGTATGTTCATCTTTATCGTGTAAGTAGATTTTCTCACCTTCATTAAAACCAACAGGGTTATTTATTTCATGTCTTCTCTTCTGGTTAACTAAACCTAATCTTAATTTCAAAGTTGTATCATGATTTTGCAGTAGAATAAAATGTGTTTTGCTGAAATGAGTGATATTTTTAAATGCATTCTGATCACTGCATTGATGCATACTCTTCAGGAATCTTTGGTTTTGAGAGTACTCCTGCAGGTGGCCATCAACTTTCCCGATTTCTATGAAACAAGAGAATCAATTTTTCCATGAGAATGGTATGGAGTAAAAATGCCTGGAAGATGATCTGGTGGGTGTTCTAGTTTGGATCTAGAAAGTTTCCCAGAAGCTTGTATGTTGAAAGCATGGTTCCCAATGCAGCAAGGTTCAGAGGTGGGGTTTTAGGCAGTGACTGGATCATGAGGGCTCTGAACTCATCAGTTAATTAATCCATTTGATCAGATGGATTAATTCAGCAATGGCAAAATGGACTATTTTTGCTGGCCCCTGCCTCTCTTTCTGCTTCTGACTGTCATGAGATAAGCAGCTTGCCTCTGCCACACCCTTCCACTAAGATGTTTCTGCCTTTGAGTGAACCATGAGCTGCATCCTCTGAAACCATGAGCCAAGATAAGTCTTTCCTCCCCTAAGCTGGTCAAGTATTTTGGTCAGAGTTATGAAAAGCTCACAAACACATAAAGTGGGGTACAGCCCTTTATTGTCAACCGAATGATTCTAGTAGCAAAGAAAAAAATAAAGATACAAGATGAAATAAACAAGAACTATATCCAAAAAGAGATAATGGAGGCACATATTTAAAACTAAACACCTTAAAAATAAAAGTTCCCAAATGGGGAGGTTAATATGAGGAGAAGCTGTTTAGGTATCTTCAGATGCTTCACAGCAGTGACACCTCCCTCAATAAGCAGACCATGACTTTCACAGCCACTCCCCTACTGCTTCTCACTAACTGCTATGGTTTGAATGTGTGTCCCCAAGAACTTCATGTTGGAAACTTAAAAATCTCCAATGCAACAGTATTAAGAGGTGGGACCTTTCAGAGGTAACTAGGCTCCGAGGGCTTTCATTACTGGATTAATGGTGATGATATAAAAGGGCATGAGGTTGCAAGTCTGACCTCTTGCTGTCTCTCCTGCACACTCTTGCCCTTCTGCCTTCTGCCATGTGATGATGCAGCATGAAGGTCCTTGCCATATGCAAACCCCTTGATCTTGGACTTCTCAGCCCAAAGAACTATAAATAATATATCTCTATTCCTTATAAATTACCCGGTCTCAGGTATTTTTATAGCAGCACAAAAGGAACTAAGACACTCACCTGAACAGGGTCCATTCGGGACTTCATCTTCTATCATCCACAGTTCTTCTCCTTGCTCCAAATTGGAGAATGCATGTGATTTGATATTTTGAAACCCTGTTTATAAGAAAAAAAATAGATACTTAGACACATTGAATAAGGGTACAGGACGTCAAGTGGGAAAATATTATACCTGAGAGACAAAATTTCTCATATGCAAAGTAAAAGTTTTTTGTTTTTTTGTTTTCCAGAACAGGAGTGGAAATGCCACTTTGGGGGAACTAAATAACACTTTAGAGAACTAAAAATCTAACACTTCAGAATACCACAATGAAGGCAAAACTTTGAATGGTGACAGAGGACAGCATGTGACTTTCTAAGTGGACCTAACCTTACCTACTGAGACCAGATTATTATAATTTTCCAACATCACATCCTGGTACAGATTCTTCTGAGAAGGATCCAGGAGCTGCCACTCCTCCAAGGTGAAATTCACAATCACATCCTCCAATGTCACCAATTCCTGTGAAAACAGAGTTTTGTTTAAAGGAATGTAAATTCCAATCATTGATTTAAAGAAATATGAGGGAAGTTTTCTAATTTTCACCATATAGCCTACTTCTTTACACCTTTCTCAAATGAATTTTGGAAGGAGTAAAATTCATACATTTTAGTACAATTTCCAATAGTAAATATATGCAAATAACATCAGGAAAATTTAAACATGCCTCCATTACAACAGACTTCATGGTCAATAGGAGAATAGATCATGAACGGACTCCACATTCTCAATTTATAAGAGTTCTTTTAAATAAATGTTAAAGAAAAAAATTATACAAGATTTGTCTAAAATATAAGAGATCATTAAAACTGATTAAGAAGATTTGGGTTAAAGAGAGCTTCCATGTCCATAGATCATCTCTGAAACCCCAGCAAGGAAATTTCCTAAGAGACTGCTCTGCTTTTTCCCAAAAACCAATACACATCATTTTGTTTTTCTGGTTGTGATGGCTCTTGGAGATGTTAGATGCGAGGTGATATCTACTGTAACCTGCAGGACCCACAGAGTCATTATTATGTTTGAAACAGTAAGTCATTTAGTGGAATAGTATATTCCTGACCCCAATTTGCCCTAATTTTGAAGTTAGGTTCAAAATTAATTTCTCCCCAGAACCCAATTATTCAATTTATAATTATTTCAATTGAACAGATTTTTTTTTTCAGGCTTCCAGAAGTCTATCAGAAAACAAAGGAAAAGTACAACAAAAATCAAAGTCACCTGAGGCTCAATCATTTTCCTCTATACCCAGGAAATGATGGATAACAGGATTCTAAGTTTTATATGTCTTCTACTACAGCCCTGGAGTCATTATGTTCAGAAACCTTGGCATCCAGTTTAAGGTTCCTTAGAAATGGTAACACTCTAGGAGTTCTTCCTTCTCCCTTCATTCTTCTCCTCCATTCTTCTTGATTCTGTGGAGTAAGGACCTGTGGGCAAAAGAGCAAACTGACTTTAATTGTATATTCTCCCTGGGTCCAGATGTTGTCCCTGTTGCCGTGCATTTAGCTTAAGTAAAGGACATAAGTATTTCACACTTTGCCTTTACTTTGGCACCTCAAAGGATTCACACCCTGGGGCAATACAACAAGGCTCTACTGTATTGAAAGACAAGCTTCTTTTACAAATCAGAAGTTGATGACAACTAAGGGGAAGTAAAAAAAAAAAAACACAACAACACAAAGGGCAGAGCACAGTACCTCAGAGGCAGGTGAATTCTCAGGGAGATCAATTTTAGGAAAGAAGATACAAAAGGTTCTAAGGATCTGGACATTCTGTCTTTAAAAAGCAGGTGTGTGCATATATCACTTCACAAGACTTTGTACATTCCATAGGAACACACTCTTAGTTTCAAAGATCATCTGATTTCATATTGTGCAACAAAGGATTAACTTTACATAAGAGAGGCTTGGCCCTTAGTTCCTGTGAGGAAATACCTAAGCTCTTGGAATCCTTGGAATATCCTGCTTGATCAGACCTGATAAGGGTCTTTGCTAACCCAGGCAGCTCAACCCTTGGGAGGGTGTCCTTGTCAACAAGGTGACTTACAGTAGGGGTCCTGGACCAAGTGCTATCAGCTAGACCTCTGCAAGGCTGGAGACTAAAGGCCAGCCGTGCAGGCAGCCAATCAAGTCTATGTCCACAGAGGCCCCAGGAACTCTGAACATGAAGGCTTGGATGACTTTTCCTATTTGGCAATAAAGTTATATAAAGATATAGATGAGGAAAACATGATAATCATCAAACCAAACACACCTAACAAGAGAACTCCAGAACACTGGAAGCAAAACCTGACAGAATTGGCAAGCAAAACAGACAAACCAAAAAATAAGGCAGCACCTCACTCTGAATAATAAACAAAGCAAGTAGCAAGTCAGCAGGACACAGGAGACTGGAAAAGTACCAGCTTCACTTACATTTCACATTCATTCATCAGCAGCAAGCTGTACATCCAACTTCAAGAGTACATGCAGGGGAGGGAGACTAGGAAAGGCTGCAGAACCAACTGGTCCTAACTCCCCAGCCTGGGATCTGTATAC